CTGAGATTGATATCGCAAGAATATGTACCCTCTACCTCTGATGTAATACTCTCCAATCGCTTTTTGACGGAAAGTAGTTGACGGCCAATTTTATTCAGGAGTTCGCCCGTGCGCTCACTAGCTTGAATATTCTCTAATAGAGCATTCACGCCGCGCTGTGCAGCTTTAGCAACTTGGGCTGTAGTTGCACCAGTACTTGTCAGGTCGGGCATCATGCGTTTGGGTAACTGTAGGTAGCGAACTTGTTAAATGAATATCACAATTAGTCAACATAGGCAGACTCACCATAGCAAAGAGGAGTAATTGCTGTTTCTGTCTTCAGATATAGTATTTTTGATCGAAGACTTCAGAAGATTGTAAATGATAGAGATGGGTATTCGTTGTATTATATTTATACAGCAGCATTTTTGACATCCTTTGGCACGTCTATAGTTAGCAACCTAAGGGGTTGTGGATATGGGTTGAGTTCCTAGGACGTCTAACTGAGTCTCTTGCGTAACAGGGTCTGGCTGGGCGCACGGCAGGCTCCTAGGAACAAAGTTCGTTCCAAAGGGCTATGAATATCGCACGACATACATGAGGAGTGGAGGATGTGCGCCATGAGTGACCCACATAGGATTTTCTAGAACACGGAGGCTCCTTTCCTTTACTTCCTCGCGCGATGTCTTCTAGAGTCAAGGTTCTCCCGGCTTAGGCGTAAGGCTCACATGATTGAACGTCCTCTATACATAAAGGTTCCGGGTTCCTGGGAATATGGTGATATGGCGAATAAGAAAATAGCTCAAACGATAACTGCAATTATCAAGTTGGCTACCGGACATTTTCGTAAGCTATTGCAGAGCCTGCGGCCAGCTACCAGGAGCACTATATCTGGAGCCTCATAAAGAAAATCCGATTGCTTATAGAAGTCTGGGTGCATGCGCTTATTGGCAGAGAAGCGGTTCTCTTTCTCCACATTTTGACGATCATCTCTGCTAGCCTCTGTGCCAGGACATGTCGGGGATCTCCAAGTAGACTGAACCAAAACTCGTGGCTCCGGTAGTCCTTCAAATCCTGGTTAGGAAATGGCGGGACCGAGAAGGCAAAGTATTCCCAGGAGCATCGATCGTAGAACGATAATGCTGATTGGGTGGCCAAATAGCAAGCTCCATTA